CAGCCTGGGCATCAGAGTGAGTCTCTGTCTCAAAACAATATAAATAAAAATAAATGACAGAAGCCCAAATACGCCAGGAGATGTAAGTGGATCCGACTCATTATTGAAGACAGAATATTGGCTGGGTACGGTGGCTCATGCCTGTAATCCCAGCACTTTGGGAGGCTGTGGTGGGTAGACCATTTGAGGTCAGTTCGAGAGGAGCCTGGCCAACATTGTAAACCCTGTCGCCATTAAAAAAACAAAAATTATCTGGGCATGGTGGCAGGCGCCTGAAATCCCAGCTACTTGGGGGGCTGAGGCAGGAATCTCACTTAAACCCAGGGCACAGAGGTTGCAGTGAGCAGAGTCTGTGCCACTGCACTCCAGCCTGGGCGACAGGATGAGACTCTGCCTCAAAAATAGAAGAAAGAAAACAAAGGAAAAAAAGAAGGGGAAAAAATCAACCGCAGCTTTACAAGAAATACTTTTTTTTGAGAGGGTCTCATCCTGTTGTCCTGGCTACTAAAATACAGGGTCCAGTACAGTGGTACAATCATAGCTCACTGCAGCCTTGGCCTCCTGAGCTCAAGCAATCCTCCTGCCTCAACCTCCAAAGTAATTAGTTAGGACTACAGGTGTGGACCACTATGGCTGCATGTCTGGTTTTTTTTTTTTTTTTTTTTTTTTTTTTGGTACAGAGAGGTCTCGTGTTTTGGGGTTTGTTTCGTTTTGTTTTTGAGATGAACTCTTGCTCTGTCACCAGGCTGGACTGTAGTGACACAATCTCAGCTTACTGCAACCTCCACCTCCCGGGTTCAAATGATTCTTCAGCCTCAGCCTCTCAAGTAGCTGGGACTACAGGCACGCGCCACCACGCCCAGCTAAATACAAAAACTAGCTGGGCGTGGTGGCATGTGCCTGTAGTCCCAGTCGTAGAGACAGGGTTTCACCATGTTGGCCAGGCTGGTCTCGATCTCTTGACCTTGTGATATGCCTGCCTCAGCCTCCAAAAGTGCTGGGGCTCCAGGCATGAGCCACTGTGCCTGGCTGGGTCTTGTTTTAATGCCCAGGCTGGTCTCGAAATCTTGGGCTCAAGTAATCTTCTCATCTCAGCCTCCCAAAGTGCTGGGATTACAGGCATGAGCTATCACACCCGGACTCAAATACATTTAAAGCGAAGCAATACAGAAAGGTTAAAAATAGTTGCAAAAGATGCACACAGAAGATACTAACCAAAGCTACTTTCAATATGTTAATATGAGAGAAAATAGAACTTGAGGACCTTCATTCTCAAAGACAATAATTTTTAAAAATTTTTAAACAGGTTAATGCAGTCACAAAATAAAGAATGAAATCATGTCCTTTACAGCAGCATGGGTGCAGCTGAAGTCCATTATCCTAAGAAAATTAATGCAGGAGGCCGGGCGCGGTGGCTCACACCTGTAATCCCAGCACTTTGGGAGGCCGAGGTGGGAGGATCACGAGGTCAAGAGATCGAGACCATCCTGGCCAACATGGTGAAACCCTGTCTCTACTAAAAGTACAAAAATTAGCTGGGCGTGGTGGTGCGTGCCTGTAGTCCCAGCTACTCGGGAGGATGAGGCAGGAGAATTGCTTGAACCCAGGAGATGGAGGTTGCAGTGAGCTGAGATCGCACCACAGCACACCAGCCTGGCTCCTGGTGACAGAGCAACACTGTCTCAAAAAAGAAAGAAAAAGAAAGAAAATTAATTTGGGAACAGAAAGCCAAATACCCTATATTCTCACTTTTAAGTGGGAGCTCAATATTGGGTACTCACAGACACAAAGAGGACAGCAACAGACACTGGGGACTCCTAGAGCAGGGAGGGAAGGGGCAAGGGCTGAAAAACTAACTACAGGGTACTATGCCCACTGCCTGGATGACAGGATCAATCCCACCCCAAACCTCAGCAGTATGCAACAGACCCACGTAACAAACCTACACACACACTCTGAATCTAAAATAAGCATGGCAGGGTGCAGTGGTTCACATCTGTAATCCCATCACTTTGGGAGGCCAAGGAGGGAGGATCGACTGCTTGACGCCAGGGGTTCAAGATTGGCCTGGGCAACAAAGCAAGACCCCATCTTTACAAGAAAATTAAAAATTAGAACGCACCTGTGGTCCTAGCAACTCTGGAGGCTGAGGTGGGAGGACTGAGCCTGGGAGGTCAAGGCTACACTGAGCTATGACTGCACCACTGCACTCCAGCCTGGGTCCAGAGTGAGACCCCCTCACAAAAAAAAATAAATAAAAGTTGAAATTATTTTTTTTAAAAAGAAAACTTAAGTTCAGTTTAAACAAACAACAACAAAAAAGGTCCAAATCCATGTAAAGAAATACTTCAAGTAATAAGACTAATGCACGAACAAAAATCAATCATATGCTAGAATGCAATGAAAAGACAGCCTTGGCTGGGTGTGGTGGCTCACACCTATAATCCTAGCACTTTGGGAGGCTGAGGCAGGTGGCTCGCTTAAGGTCAGGAGTTCAGGACCAGCCTGGCCAACAAGGTAAAACCCTATCTCTACTAAAAACACAAATATTAGCCAGGCACGGTGGCAGGTGCCTGTAAGTCATGGAAGGCTGGAAGGAGGGAGACCCTTGCTCTCTAGTCCTGTCCTAGAGGCGGGGCAATGGCCGGGAAAGATGTGAGGCTACCTCCATTTTCACTGTGAGCCATGGGACCCTAGTGAGTTACCTATATATTTTTTTTTTCTTTTTGAGACGGAGTTTTGCCCTTGTTGCCCAGGCTGGAGTGCAGTGGTGCAATCTCAGCTCACCGCAATTTCCGCTTCCCAGGTGCCTGTAATCCTAGCTACTCAGGAGGCTGAGGCAGGAGAATCACTTGAACCCGGGAGGCAGAGGTTACAGTGGGCTGAGATTACGCCACTGCACTCCAGCCTGGTGACAGAGCAAGACTCCATTCTCAAAAAAATAAAAATAAAAAAGGATGTAGCAAAATTAGGTTCCTTGTGCAATGTTGGTAGGAATGTAAAATGGTTCAGCTGCTGTGGAAAACAGTGTAATGACCCCTCACAAAAATTAAACACAGAATTATCACAGGATCCAGCAATTCCACATCTGAGTATATATCCAAAAGAATTGAAAGTGAGGCCGGGTGCGGTGGCTCATGCCTGTAATCCCAGCACTTTGAGAGGTCAAGGCACATCGATCATGAGGTCAGGAGATCGAGACCATCCTGGCCAACAGGGTGAAACCCCATCTCTCCTAAAAATACAAAAAGTAGCCGAGCACGGTGGCAGGTATCTGTAGTCTCAGTTACTCAGGAGACTGAGGCAGGAGAATCGCTTGAACCTGGGAGGTGGAGGTTGCAGTGAGCTGAGATTACACCACTGCTGGGGTGACAGAGTAAGACTCTGCCTCAAAAAAAAAAAAAGAATTGAAAGTGAGGCCTTGAAGAGCTATCCAGTCACCCATGTTCATAGCAACATCAGCCATAATAGCTAAACCAAAGTATTCATCAACAAACACGAAATATGCTTTATTCATACAACAAGGTATTATTCAGCCTTCACAAGGAAGAAAATTCTGACCTATGCCACATGGATGAACCTTAAGGATGTTATGCTAAATGAAATGAGCCAGTCACAAAAAGACAAACACTGTGTGATTCTACATATGAAGGATCTCGAGTAGCCAATTTTATAGAGACAAAAATTAGGATGGTGGTTTTAAAGGGTGTAGGAGGGTGAACAGAAAGGTTTTGTTTAATGGGTATAGAATTTCAGCTTTGTAAGACGAAGAAAGTTCTGGAAATGGATGGAGGTTATGGTTTCATAACAATATAAATGTACTTAATATCACTGAACTATACATTTAAAAACAGTTAAGATAGTAAATTTTATGTCATGTATATTTTACCACAAGTTAGACACACCTGTAATCCCAGCATTTTGGGAGGCCGAGGTGGGAGGATCACGAGGTCAAGAGATCGAGACCATCCTGGCCAACATGGTGAAACCCTGTCTCTACTAAAAGTACAAAAATTAGCTGGGTGTGGTGGTGTGTGCCTGTAGTCCCAGCTACCTGGGAGGCTGAGGCAGGAGAATCGCTTGAAGCTGGGAGGCGGAGGTTGCAGTGCGCCGAGATCATCACGCTACTGTACTCCAGCTTGGGCGACAGAGTGAGACTCTGTCTCCAAAAACAACAACAACAACAACAACAACAACAACAAAGGAACTGTCTGCTCAACAATGTCTCACTATGTTCCAACCCCTCAAAATAGGTATCAGGTCAGACTACTCTAGAGACAAATTTTACTGAATGTTCAAGCAGGCTAACACCTATCTTACAGAAACTATTTCAGAGATATGAAAAAAGTCATGTAATGAGGTTTATAATATTCATAACAAAATAAAACCAGGCCAGTACAAAAAAGAAAACAACTTCCCATCTACTGACAAAGATGCCAAATCATGTGAACAGCTCTGCAAGGTGGGTGTTATTACTTCCATCTTATTGATAAGAAAAACAAAGCTAGGGCCGGGCGCAGTAGCTCATGCCTATAATCCCAACACTTTTGGAGGCCGAAGCAGGTGGATCACCTGAGGTCGGGCATTTGAGACAAGCCTGACCAACATGGAGAAATCCATCTCTACTAAAAATACAAAATCAGCTGGGCATGGTGGTGCATGCCTGCGATCCCAGCTACTTGGGAGGCTGAGGCAGGAGAATCACTTGAACCCGGGAGGCGGAAATTGCGGTGAGCTGAGATTGCGCCACTGCCCTCCAGCCTGGGCAACAAGGGCGAAACTCCATCTCAAAAAGAAAAAAAGAAAAGAAAAATATAGGTAACTCACTAGGGTCCCATGGCTCACAGTGAAAATGCAGGTAGCCTCACATCTTTCCCAGCCATTGTCCGCCTCTAGGACAGGACTAGAGAGAAAGGGTCCCCCTCCCTCTAGCCTTCCACAACTGAGGGGATTTCCCAGTGGTTGCTGGTGTCCGAGAAGACCTTGGGGTCAGCACTCACCAGGACGGGCTCCACCAGCTTCCCCTCTGGCATGACGGCACGGTTCATCTTGGCGATGCGCTCCAGAGTGGCCAGGGCAGCCGGAGTGTTCCCAGTGGAGACATTGAACCGGGCAGATTCAGGAATAAACTGGGTGGAGATTACCAAGAACGTCAGAGTGGCCCCTGCTGTAGAGCCCAGGGGCACAGTTGTTATTGCTCCATACCCAATACAGTCCTGGTTTCCCAAGGTGGGAAAAACACGTAACCAGCTAAAAGGCATGCAATGTAGCCGGAATTCTGCTGGATTCAAAGTTGACTTGGAACAAAAAGGGTCACATTCTTCTGATCACAGTCCCTTACAGGATGACGGCAGGCTGACACTCAGCTTTGCACCAGTAGGGCCCAAACTAGCTGTTAACATAATGAACTTCTCACTTTCAGCTGGTAAACAGCCACTGCCCCAGGCGCCCCTCTTCAGCCCCTCCCCAGGAACCCCAGCACCTCCCCACCATGTAAAAACCAAAGGGTGACAGGGGCAGGGGCTCCAGCACCCACACGGTAGAGCAATCAGTTCTGATTGTCAAGACCCTCAACCCACTGAATGCTGAATATTTCGAACATCACATGCAGAAAACAGTGTGGGCTGCCACTGACGCTGGAGCATCAGCTCTGACCACTCCCCATCTCTCCTGCCTCATGCAATCAAGGCTGTTGGCCCTTCCTCAGAAAAGCTCCTCCACAGCAGCCCCTGACCCCGCATTCCCATGGCCAGTGAGCAGTTCGGGTCCTGCTCTCAGTTATTCTGACACTCTTGATTTTCCAGCCTTTTTCCTCCTGTCTCATGCCCAGCCTCCACAGCGATATGCCAGCTTCCCAGCACACAACCCCTTCCACAGTCAGAAATCCCTTCCTTCAACATTCTGAGACGGAGTCTTACTCTGCTGCCAAGCTGGAGTGCAGTGGCACTATCTCGGCTCACTGCAACCTCCGCCTCCTGGGTTCAGGCAATTCTCCTGCCTCAGCCTCCTGAGTAGCTGGGACTACAGGCTTGTGCCACCATGCCCAGGTAATTTTTTTATTTTTAGTAAAGACGAGGTTTCACCATGTTGGCCAGGATGGTCTCAATCTCTTGACCTTGTGATCTGCCTGCCTCGACCTCCCAAAGTGCTGGGATTACAGGCGTGAGCCATCACCGTGCACTGCCAATGCTTTTAATTTTTTTAAACAGTCCAGAGATCTTTTTATTTTTTGCACTTAATATGCCATGAATTCATAGGGAGTAGGTTCCAGCAGCTTAGGCTCCCCGCCATGGTTCTCATAAATGTGCCTCTCTGGGTGGAGCAGGGCTGGGTACCCTTCCCTTTGGATTCCTTGTTTTTCTTATCATTTTCTGCACGTGTTTCAGGAAGCGATCTCAGCTCTTAGAGTGCTTAGTGTGCTCAATACACACATGAACTCCCTTGGCAAGAATCCTGCCCATAACCTGTTTGTTTACAACAAAGCCAATAGCACGCTGTGTAATATCATAGACTCTTCCAGTTCTGCCATGGTGACACCTGTGGGGCATTCCTTTTGAACCACGCCCACTCCCTTCATAGCTACGATATCATCTTTCTTATAGATTCATAGGTATGTGGCCACAGGAACAACCCCATGTTGTCTAAAAGGCCTGATGACTCTTCTTTCCCTTTGTGTTGGTCATTTTGGTGAACTACTGGAAAATGGCAGTTCTGGTCAAAAGGAAGCCCCTTTTTGTTCGCTATTTTTTTTTGAGACAGTCTCACTTTGTCACCCAGGCTGGAGAACAATGACATGGTCTTGGCTAACTGCAACCTCTGCCTCCCAGGTTCAAGTGATTCTCCTGCCTCAGCCTCCCAAGTAGCTGGGACTACAGGTGCCCGCCACCACACCTGGCTAATTTTTGTATTTTTAGTAGAGACAGGGTTTCACTACATTGGCCAGGCTGGTTGTGAATTCCTGACCTCGTGATGTGCTCACCTCACGTTGGCCATTTTGATCTCGAACCCCTGACCTCGTGATCTGCCTGCCTCAGTCTCCCAAAGTGCTGGGATTACAGGCATGAGCCACTTTACCTGGCCTCTTTTTTTTTTTAATTTATTTTTATTTTTTGAGAGACAGGGTGTTGCTCTGTCGCCCAGGCTGGAAGGCAGTGACTCAATCATAGTTGACTGCAGCCTTGACCTCCCAGGCCCAAGCAACTCTCCCATCTCAGACTCCTGAGTAGCTGGGACCACAGGCACGGACCACAACACCCGGCTAATATTTTTTTTTTTTTTTTTTTTTTGAGATGGAGCCTCGCTCTGTCACCCAGGCTGAATTGCAGTGGCGTGATCTCGGCTCACTGCAACCCCGCCTCCTGGGTTTCAAGTAATTCTCTGCCTTAGCCTCCCAAATAGCTGAGATTATAGGCAACTACTACCACACTCGGCTACTTTTTTTTAATATTTTTAGTAGAGATGGAGTTTCACCATCTTGGCCAGGCTGGTCTTGAACTTCTGATCTCGTGATACACCTGCCTTGGCCTCCCAAAGTGCTGGGATTAGAGGTGTGAGCCACTACACCCGGCCTAAGTTTTTTATTTTTAGTAGAGATGCCATGTTGCCTAGGCTGGTCTTGAACTCCTGGGTTCAAGTGATCTTCCTGCTTCGGTTTTCCAAAGTGCTGGCATTACAGACATGAGCCACCACGTCTGCCCAGCAGAAAGTCTGACTATACCAACAGAGGCAGACAATCTGCTCACAGGAAGCAACTGGCTTTCTAAGCTAACTGGTCCCCGAGCACGTGGGGGCCTGTGTGTGATTCTCAGCAATAGTGCACTGCATGGGCCCGGCACAGTGGCTCACATCTGTAATCCTAGCACTTTGGGAGGCTGAGGCTGGCAGATCACTTGAGGCCAGGAGTTCGAGATCAGTTTGGCCAACATGGCGAAATCTCATCTTTAAAAATACAAAAATCAGCCGGGCGTGGTGGCGCATGTCTGTAATCCCAGCTACTCGGCAGGCTGAGGCAGAAGAATCACCTGGACCTGGGAGGTGAAGTCTGCAGTGAGCCGAGATCACGCCACTGCACTCCAGCCTGGGCAACAGAGTGATACTCTGTCTTGAGAAAAAAAAAAGATATTTGTGGGCATGAAAGCCACTGGACCAGCAGGAGGGGAGGACAGGAAGGAGCCACGAGGGCTTCCCCACCTTGAAGGCCATGATGAGGATGATGCCCGGGATGGAGGCGACACGGATGAGCCAGCGCCACCCGATGGTGGGGATGATCACAGAGGCCAGGCCAATGATGAGCAGGGAGCCTGCGAGCCAGAACACCTGGGGAGAGAGAAGTCCAAGATTAAAGTTATTTGTTTGGGGAATAATGACAATGGAAAAAAAAATTTAAAAAAAAAAAGATTAAAATTCCTTCTGTCCAATGTGCTTTACGTGTCGTCTTTTGAGAGCCACCTCGTCCAGCATTTGGCCATTGTTTTTTGTTTCTGAGACAGGGTCTCACTCTCTCATCCACACTAGAGTACAGTGGTGCATAGCAGACTGCAGCTTCAACCTCCTGTGCACAAGTGACCCTCCCCCTTAGCTCCCCATGTAGCTGGGACTACAAGCACGCACCATCACCCCGGCTCAGTTTTTTTTATTTTTTGTGGAGACAGGGTTTCATCATGTTGCCCAGGCTGGTCTTGAACTCCTGGGTTCAAACAATCTGCCTACCTCAGCCTCCCAAAGTGCTAGGACTACAGGCGTGAGCCACAGCGCCCGACCTTGCCCTTATTAAAGGGTGAGATGGAAGAGTCTTTGAGAAGCACATAACTCAGGTTCTACTCCCGTCACTACCTCGAATGACCTGGGTGAACTAGACAACTCACTTCACTTCTCTGTGGCTCAGTTTTTGTCTGTAAGTGGGAGACTAAGCTGGGGAGAGAGTCAACAATACCACTAAACTTTTTTTTTTTTTTGAGACAGGGTCTCGCCCTGTCACCCAGGCTGGAGTGCAGTGGCATGATCTCGGCTCACTGCAACCTCCACCTCCCAAGCTCAAATGATCCTCCCACCTCATCCTCCCAAGTAGCTGGGATTACAGGCAGGTGCTACCATGCCAGGCTAATTTTTGTATTCTTTGTAGAGACAGGGTTTTGCTATGTTGCCCAGTCTGGTCTCAAACTCTTGGGCTCAAACAATCTGTCACAGTCAGCATTCCAAAGTGTTGGGACTATAGGCGTGAGTCACTGCACCCAGCATGTATCACTATAAAAAAAAAAAAAAAAAAAAAAAGAAAAAAGAAAAAAAACAGGCTGGGCACACTGGCTCATGCCTGTAATGCCAGCACTTTGGGAGGCCGAGATGGGTGGATCACAAGGTCAGGAGTTTGAAACCAGACTGGCCAAGGTGGTGAAACCCTGTCTCTACTAAAAATACAAAAATTAGCTGGGCATGTTGGCATACGCCCGTAATCTCAGCTACTCAGGAGGCTGAGGCAGAAGGATCACTTGCACCCGGGAAGCAGAGGTGGCAGTGAGCCAAGATCGTGCCACTGAAATCCAGCCTGAGTGACAGAGCGAGACTCCATCTCAAAACAAAACAAAACAAAACTGAGACCCCATGACATCTCGTTAACTTCTTTTTTTGGCTAGATACTACATTCACTGGGTCATAACTCAAAAGGCACGTAGGAGACGACCAAAAAGATCCCCTCTTCCCCAAGTTCTCTGCCATCCAGTTTCTATTCTCAGAAGGAACCAATATTACATTTCTTCTAAGCAAGCTAATAGGAAATTTTTTGTTTTTCTTTTATCACAGATGGTACCATGGTATACAGACTGTTCCATGTTCTGTTTTTTTTGTTTGTTTGTTTAGATGGAGTCTCAGTTTGTTGCCAAGGCTAGAGTACAAAGGTGTGATCTTGGCTCCCTGCAACCTCCACCTTCCAAACTCAAATGTAATCCCTCCTGCCTCAGCCTACTGAGTAGCTGGGATTACAGGCACATGCCAGCATGCCCAGCTAACTTTTTTTTTTAGTAGAGAAGGGGTTTAACCATGTTAGCCAGGCTGGTCTCGAACTCCGGACCTCAAGTGATCTGCCCACCTTGGCCTCCCAAAGTGCTGCAATTACAAGTGTGAGTCACATGCTTTGCTTTTTATACTTAAAAGTATATCTCAGGCAAGGCATGGTGGCTCACACCTATAATCCCAGCCCTTTGGGAAGCCGAGGCAGGAGGATCACTTGAGCCTAGGAATTCAAGACCAGCCTGGGCAATACAGCAAGACCATATCTAAAAAAATTTTTTAATTAGGCAGGTGTAGTGCCATGCACCTGTAGTCCCAGCTACTCAGGAGGCTGAGAAAGGAGAGATCACTTGAGCCTGGGAGGTTGAGGCTGCTGTGGGCTGTGATCACACCACTGCACTCAAACCTGGGCAACAGAGTGAGACTCCAGGTCAAAAAAATAAGAAAAAAAAATACATACATACATACATACATACGTATATATCTCTTAGAGATTATTTTATATCAGGAAATAACATGGACAACACCATGGCCAGGCCCCACCGGTCAGATTAAAACAACTCTAGGCCTTAGCTTGAGCATTATTTCGCCATCTGAAGTTGGGGAGTCAACAGTAATTCCATTCACCTCACAGAGATGGAGAGAAGATACAGAAGACTCTTTGGGGAAATTGTGGGGTGCCTTTTTTTTTTTTTGGAGATACGGTCTCACTCTGTCACCCAGGCTGGAGTGCAGTGATGCGATCTCGGGTCACTGCAACCTCCGTCCCCTGGGTTCAAGCAATTCTCACGCCTCAGCCTCCCAAGTAGCTGGGATTAAAGGCGCACACCATTACACTCAGCTAATTTTTTTGTATTTTTAGTCTAGACAGGGTTTCATCATGTTGGCCAGGCTGGTCTCCAGCTCCTAACCTCAAATGATCCACCCTCCTTGGCCTCCCAGTGCTGGGATTATAGGCATGAGCCACTGCGCCTGACCTGGGGTGACTGTTTCATCACTAAAGAACTCTATTACCAACAAAAACAAGATTATTTCAGAAAGCAATAAGGGCTGGAAAGAAAACAGAAAAACGTGATAGAGCGGGATGTGAGTCATCAGGAAAACACTGCTGGATAGGCAATGAGTAACCAGGTGAGTAACAAGGCCACAGCAGCAGACCAGGTCAGTGACTGAAATGGATTTTGGTAGTAAATGGTGAAAAAATAGTTTTATTTTTAATTGACACATTTTTGACACATTAGTTGTACAAATATTTTTTAACGGATGGATTAATATGTTTTGGAGATAAAGGTGATAGGTTCAGGCACAGTGGCTCATGCCTGTAATCCCAACACTTTGGGAGGCTGAGGCGGGTGGATTACGAGGTCAGGAGTTCAAGACCAGTCTGGCCAATATGGTGAAACCCCGTCTTTACTGAAAATATAAAAATTTAGCTGGGCATGGTGGCACGTGCCTGTAGTCCCAGCTACTCGGGAGGCTGAGGCAAAAGAATCACTTGAAACCAGGAGGCAGGTCCAATAATAGGGGGTGAGTTAGCAGGGCTGGTGATTAGGGACGAAGGACAGGGAGGGTCCGGGATGCCTCCCGAGTTTGTGTCCAAGATCACTGAGGGGAAAGTGTTGGCTCTTAACTGAGATTGGAAACAGAAATAAGAGGCTTAAGGGGAAGAGGAGGAGATTAGGTCTGAGTATCTTGGACTGAGGGGCCTGTAAGGCATTCAAGTGACTATCACGTTATTGGCTGCCTGGGTCTGAAGGCTAAGGAGGTGCTCTGGGTTGCAGATAGAGATTTTGGAGCCAGTGTGGTGGCTCACACCTATCATCCCAACACTTTGGGAGGCTGAGGTGGGAGGATCACTTGAAGCCAGGAGTTTGAGACTAGCCTGGGCAACAAAGCAAGACCCCATCACCACGAAAAGAAATTTAAAATTTGCTAGGCACCATGACATGCATGTATAGGCCCAGCTACTCAGGAGGCTGAGGCAGAAGGATCACTTAAGCCCAGGAGTCCAGGAGGCTGCAGGGAGCTGTGACTGTAATAACCTAGCTCGTGTTAGCCTAACTGACTCCATCTCAGCAGTAAGCTCCAGCCTAGCTTCTCCCTCTCTGCCATAGCCCCCACAGGTACATAGCTGGTCACGCTGCACTTAGAAGCTTTGAACCACTGAGAGTGGTTCACACTGTTCCCAGCACCTGTAGCCACTGTAACCACTTCCTGCTTGGCAAGTCTACCTGCTGTTGTGAATACCTTCCTTGGTGCTTGATTGTATGGAAAGCCCCCCTGCTAGCCCCCTTGATGACTGTATGAAAATACCCTTAGCAACCAACAACCCTGGCAACCTCCTGCCCCCTGGTTACCAGCTTCCTTATGTAACTTGCTTGTTCTGCTTCTGTAAAGTTCTGCTTCAGCTAGGCTCCCCTTCCCCTACCTAAATCAAGGTATAAAAGATAATCAAGCCCCTTCCTCGGGGCTGAGAGAATTTTGAGCATTAGCTGTCTCTCGGTCACCGGCTAATAAATAAAGGACTGCTAATTTGGAACTTAAAAGTGTGGCGCATTCCTTCTGACTTGCTTGGATGCAACACAATCACACCAATACACTCGTGAGTAACAGAGAGATACCCTGTCTCTAAAAAAAA